GCCTGGGACTATTATGACAAGGAGAAAGGCAGCTGTACTATATGCGGCCGCCAAGTAAAAGTACACAAAAGTGACGTAACGAATCTAAAATCGCATCTTGCACGAAAACACCCTGAAATCATAATAGAAAACGTGTATAAAACTAAAGGAATACAAATACGTAATTTTAAATATATAATTAATATACTCATATAAAGATAGTATTACGGATTTAATAAAAATTGTAAATGTCCAGCTGGGCCCACATTTCCGCAAAAGGCATCCACCTTTGCTCCTGCTTTACTTTATATTGTATTCTGGTTATCAGAATCTCCCACAAGTTATAAATGATATGCTGACAGTTTGGCGCATAAGACGAAGAGGCCCTGATTTTATCCAGAGATGGGTTAAAATTCCGAGTTTCAATTTCCGACGATTTTCCTTCCGAGTTCCGATTTCCGAAATTTTGAAAAAATTTCCGATTTGCGACAATTTTTAAAGCATATTTCCGACAAATTCCCAAAATTTTCAAAATTTTTGTCAGCGACGCTTAAAAAAGAAGAAATCTGTCTTCTAGCCTTTCATAATTCTCAAAATCTGGATTCTTGACCTTCAAAATTTTTGCCTGCGGCGCTTAAAAAATAAGAAATCTGGCTTCTAGGCGTTAGAAAGTTCAATATCCTCTGATATCCTAACCTCTGCTTCCGGTTACTCCAAAAACCAGTAAAAATTATCATACTTGGGCAAATACACCTAAAAATACATAAGAAAAATTTCCTTTTTGTGAAAAGATCCTTATTTCACTACTCTTACTAAGCATCCGAAATAGTATAAATGAGTATTTGATTGCATGACGAAAGATCAAACACTTATTAATTTTCGAGGAAATTTTGCCAAAAATATACCCCCAAGAACTAGTTCCAGAACTAGTTCCAAAGTTAGTTCCAGACATTTACTAGTTCCGTAGTTCCAGTTCCAAGCTAGTTCCAGACATTTCTAGTTCCGTAGTTCCAGTTCCAAACTAGTTCCAGATAATCGTTAGTTCCGTAGTTCTAGTTCCGGAACTGGAACTAGAACTAATTAGTTCCGGAACTGGAACTTTGACATCACTGCTTATTAATTTTATTTTAATACATCTGAATGTAAATATGTATTTTAATCTTGATATATACAAGTACATATATTTTTAGCAGGTAATGTTGCAGGTACAAACGTTGATGATGAAGATAGCGAAGCTACATTAAGTGATGATAATGTTCGTGAAGCTCTTTATAACGAAGCGAAAGCTGGTGCTGGTTATGTTCGTGAAGACGATGATAGCGAAGCTACATTTTCTGGCTGAAACTGAAACTACAATATTAGTAGAAACTACAAACTATTCGTAGTAACCAAAAAAACTATACACAAAATTTGTGGACGAAGACATATTCAAAGATTTTCTTTGTAAAAAATTTCAAAAAAATCAAAAAAATATATAAAAAATCAAAATCAAATAAAAATCAAAAATATTTAAAATACAAAAAAAAAGCATTTTTTGAATTTTTTAAATTATCATCATTGTATTCATTTAGTAGTAGTAGTATAAAAATTAGCTTAGCACAACTATTGTTTATTTAATATGAGTGAAAAATAAATTTTCGGCATTCTTTATTGCTTCAAATTGAGATGATAAAAATGTATAGTGAGTTTTGATCGTCGTTAGCTCCAAAGTGTTATAAATAGACTCTAATTCATAACACTTTGGAGTGTTAAGAGCTCCTGCAATGGCCGGGTTAATATCTATCTGTAAATGATTTACAGCCGTTTAGATTCGTAACACAGCACAAACATCAAAGATTTTAAGCAAAAAAGAAGCTCGTTTGGCAATTGAGGCCATGAAGGATACTGCAAGACAGAAGCATGAGACCTTGGCGCAAGTAGCTTTATTTATCTTTTATGTTCAAAAGCTCTCACCTCCTATTAGTAGTTTTATAATTCGCCAATTCTGAAAATTTTTTTAATTCTTTTTCATCCCAGAATTTTTTTTATTTTTCTAAAATAATAATTTATTTAAATTAATTTTTTGCATCCAACTTCGTCACAAATGTCGGGTCCCTAGGTATCAGGTCCCCAAAAGTCATTTTTATCATTTCCCTGTTTATTTAATCTCAGATGATGCTGTTATTTTAACTACACTTTTAAATTCATTTTTCAAAAATTCCCTTAAGCTTAATTATTATTTTTTTCTAACATCGAGTTCCTAAATGTCGTCGCCAACTGTTGGGTCCCCAAAATTCTGATCCCCAAAAGTCGCGCCACGAATGAGGAGACATTATATGTATAATAAAACTGAATAGAAAAGTTTTACTTTCAAAATTTATCTTCTAATTTTTATTAAGTAATGATTAGGAGTTAAACATTGGCGGAGAAGATGATGAAAATGGAGATAATGAAGCATAATTTGTTAGTATTATGTATATTTTTAGTTAACTACTGAAAAAGACATAAAATTAGAACTCAACAAAATCCAAATATTAAGAAAAATTTTTTTTTGTTATTTTTTTTTTGTTAAAAGACATAAAATTAGAACTCAACAAAATCCAAATATTAAGAAAATTTTTTTTTTGTTATTTTTGCTTTAGCAAAAGAATATATTTCCAACCAAATTTCTTCTCTGTAAACGTTGGAGGTTCAAAATTCTCCGAGAAATTCTCAACAAAAATTAAAGCAAAAAAAGAGCCTAACTGGTATGAGAAAAACAATATTTATTATAATATTTCAAAATCTTCAAAAAAAGGAAATGTTAATTTAGCAAAAGAATTAGCAGAAAATAATTTAAAAGAAAATAAATTAAAATAGCTAAAGAATGTGGAATTGAAATTAATTTTTTAGAAAAAATAAAAGAAAATTAAAGAAATAATTTTAAAAATATTTTAATATTTCTTTCATTTTTGAATGAAAATGCTCAAAAAGAAAATTTATTTTTAGCTGTTGATGCATTAAAATCCTTAAATTTACTAGAAAAATTAAAATTGGAAAATACATAATTTATTAAATTGACAAAATATTTAATAAATAATTGTGAAGATGAAATAAATAAATTGGAGGTCGAAAAATATTTTTTATAAAAAGTAATTTATAAAAAATATTTTTTAGAAAGAATTATTTAATTCTGAGAATAATGAAGATTTAGATGATTATTCAAAAAAGAAAATGAAACTTGGCGTTTCTATTATATGAAATATATTAAATTAAATGAAGAATTAACTAAATTAATTGGAAATGAAAATGATAAAGAAATAATTTTAGAAAATTTAGATAATTTAATTACGCTACTACACTACGCTACGCAGTCCAGGTCAATAAATCTAACTCAAGAGTCCAGGAACATGTCCAGGCTTTTCAAAATTTCCTATCTCTATTCCCAACATGTAGAGAAATGAACGAAGGGGAGAGTTTCTATTGGTAATATTCTACATTTAATATAACTAAATAGTTTTTGAAAAATAGCTTTATAACTCTGATTAATATCTAATCTTTAGCAGATCATGTTGAAATTACAAACGTTGGAGGAGGGGGTGGTGATAATCCAAATGTTGGGAATGAAGATGATGAAGCTACAGATACTGATGCTGACTGAAACGAAAGAATGATATTTCAGTTACCTAGTGGGAACTTCAAAAAGCTTTACACAAAATTTGTGGACTAGAACATAAAAACAACCCTAAAAAATTCAAAAAATACAAAAAAAATTGAAAAAATCAAAATTAAAGAAAATCAAAAAATCTTAAAAACGGCAAAAAAACGTGAAAAAACAAAATTTATTTTTTAAATTTTTTTCATTGTATTCATATTTAGTATTAGCATAAATATTAGTTTAGCATAACTATTTTTTTAACTATTAGTGCAAAATTAAATTTTGGGATTTCGATATGCTTTCAAATTGTGATGGTATAAATTCAGAGAGTTTTGAACTTCACTATCCCCCTCCCCCTGTGTTAAAAATAAGCTCTACTAACCAGGATAGTCACTGATCTCTTTTATCTCATCCAACTCCAATTTCACCTTCGACTTTATCGTTATTTTCTACTTTTGATAATTAATTATTATTGTGCTCGTTGACATTGACAAATCTCGAACAGACACTCTACATTTAAACTTTTATGAGCCTAGACAGCAAATTTTAATTTTTCCGACCAAAGGAGAAGATTTTGGATTTTCTTCCAATTTCCGCCTTCCGAATTAAGTTTTTTTTTATTCTATTTCCGATCTCCTAAACTTTTGAAAACTTTCCGTGTTTCCATATTTGGTATTATTTCATTTTCAATCAGCCTGTAATAAATTGAATCAAATATGCTTAAAATAACGTATTTTATTTATTTATAAAAAGCATGAAAATATATAATTTTTTAAATTTTATAATCATCGTTAGCTTTAACATGAAAGAAGGTAACGCACTGTTTTGCTTCCAAATTACTGCATTTATTGAATTCGGGATGGTTTGGATTTTTGCTTAAAGTGAGATAACCAACCAATGCCATGCTTGAACCTAAAATATAATTCATTTAAAAATCGTAACCATAAGGGTAAATAATGGCTTATGAAAGAACGGAGATTTCCGTCCATCCTGACAACTAATGCAAAAATGAAACCGATCAGTCGGTCGTAGCATAGATGAGCAGATGCTTCGGTGAGCTCTTAGAATCGAGTTCCACTCAATCTCTCCTTAGAGAGAGATTTGTTCTCGAGGCCCACTCGATCCTTAGAGAGAGATTTGTTCTCGTGTTCTAATAACTATTTAAAGTTCAGAGAAGTTAATAGTCATTTTCCATTTTTATTTTAGAGTTGGGCGGTATCGGGGTTTCGATATAAAATCGAAACTTGGAATAATGATCGCGATCTCGATACCGATCTCGACTGCTGGATCGTGGTTGGTCGAAACCGGGATTTATCCTTCGGTCTCGCGAATAGAACAATGGGATCGGGATTCGGAATAACGGGATAATCCTGCCCGATCGCGATCCCGCCCAACACTAGTTTATTTAAATAACTAGATGACTTTTACCCTTAAATATTTGATTCTTGCCCAAGTCATTCTCTTCTTTAGCCACTGTCAAAATTCCATCTTTAATTTTCATACGCATCTCTTGAAATTTGCCTATTTTAAGAGAATTTGCATTATTTTTGAGAGATTCAACAAGCCCACTCATTTCACGTTTTAATGTTTCGACTTTGTCCATAGCCTTATAAATTTCCTGAATTTAATAAATTATATTTTAAACTTAAATTTTATAATAGTTATGAAAGTAAAAACAAAGCTTAAGTTCAAATGTTAGCAGCTATAAAAATCACCCGACAATTTAATTTTGTTTTTTGGATTTCGCAATCCAGATCTGCAAACACTCATGATATATCCCATTTGGGCGTTCTAATGAGCTGTAGAAATAATTTTTTTCTACACGATTTATTATATTATAGTTAATTTTAATTTAATACTAATTAACATACTTCGCTACCTATCCAAATAGAGGTAATGGTTATTTTTACTTCAGCATGTCTTGTCCGAGTATATCCTGCATATTTTTGTTGAAGGTCACGAGCCATTTTCTTAATAGGAATTTTTATAAAACTTAAATGGAAATTAATATCAATCAACATTTATAAAGCATTTTAATGATATATCTCTCTTGAAGAACGAATAGTGGTCAACATTGATAAAATTAAGAAACAGAAGCTGAATGATGTTTCAATAGAACTATCGCCCCAAAAGCATTGAACGCGCAAGTTAACGAGTCATTTAAAAATAAATTTGTCAAGAATTATTTGGCCAAGTATATTTGGAAATTCATACAAAAGTTCTTACCCGAAAAATATTTAAAGAAAAGAAAAGAATAAAGTAAGAAAAATTCGTATTAAGCTTCAATGAGAGAGAATGATTCTTAAGAGTAGGTGGAGGGTCCAGTAAATACAGGGTGACCCAAAAGTAATTGGACACTTTTCTATCCTTTATAACTTTTTTTGTTTATAATATTTTTAGATAATTCCAAGTTTATTTTGTAGCTCATTTATTTCTCTATCATATTGTAAAATTAAAGATTTTTTGATTAAGGATTAAGAAAGTTATGTAATTTTAGGTACACCATATCAAAATTTTCCCCCAAAATTTAGTTTCTGTATCTCAGAAAGGAGAAATCCAAACAGGATGATCTCAACAGAATTTAATTAAGATCATTAGCGAACCGGACAAATCTGAAAGATAAAAACTCCAACTCCTACATGGATGGCTCTGAGTATATGTAAATCAGTTTTGGGGGGAATGCGATTTTCTCATTTTGGGAGGGTTACGCGCAATCGAATATCTCTTTAAGCGTTCATCTAAAAAAATTTTTGTTTTATAATTTCTATAGATAAAGGACTGCTCTATATGCCAAAAAAATTTTGTTTAATTCCTGCAATCTGTTCTAATGTTATAGGCAAAATGTCTTAAAAAAGGTGCGACCTGGAGCAATAATTTTTCTCACTTTCCTTTAACCTTATCTCAAAGTAGAATAGGGAAAATTCTAAAAGATTTTTAAATCTTATTCTCCATTTAGTTCTCTATAATTTCATCTTTATTTGATCGCATTATCTTTAATTTGAATAAAGTTATGGCAAAAATAAAGTGTCCAAATACTTTTGGGTCACCCTGTAATCCTCATTCTTAAGTGCGAGGGGGTTTCAATCTTAAGAGCAAGGAGGTTTTTAGTATTTTTGGAATTAAATCTCAATCCTTTGGAGGGGAGGGTTTAGTGGAGCCCTTAAGATACAGGAGGCTACTCATTAAAAAAAAGATAAAGGCGTCTAATCATCTACTCATTCCTTTTTATTTCCTTCCTTTTCCTCTTCATACGACTGCTAATGAATAAATATTGCCCCTATGTTCTATTTTATCAATTAAAAATAACTAATAATTATCATACCTCAACGCAATACAAACCACGAATAAATCGGACATCCCGTTGAATAAATCCACTAGTATTTAAGAATAAATTCTTGTGATCTCGCATTAATAGTTTGAAAAGAACAGCTCCATTCTTAGCAATATCAATTAAATGTTCACGTAATTCTGTAGGGCCACCTTTAGCAATTGCGTGGTCGACATGTAGTTGCTTTAAGAATAAGCGAAAATTTTTGATATTTTGTTAAGTTAAAAGCTAAATAATAGTCTAGTAGAAATGAGCAGTGAGTAATTTTACCGATATACTTATCGTGATATCTTTCAGATATTGGAACGATTTCTTAAAATCATTGATTACTCTTTAAATTCAAGTATCATCTAGACTCTGGCATAAAAATGTAAAATCTCAAAAAGAGATTTTAATAAAGGTAGGGGAAAATTCCAAAATCTTGAAGTAAAACAATTAAATAAAATTTCTAATCTCAATAAATCAAACAAATAACTTCAATCAATTTATTTCCTCACAAATAATTTAAATTAACAAAATATTATCTTTTCTTTTATCAAATAGTGGGCCCAAATCCTTTAACAAACATATATCAGGAAAATCAAAAAGGGGGAGAACTTCAAAATCTAACTGGGGGAAGGAAGAGTAACAAATCTGTAGTTCAAAAAACTTTATATATTTTCGGAGGAAGGAAACAGTTCAGAAACGATTTACTTTAATCGGAAGAAGGAATATCTTACTGGAAGGAAAGGGTACATGTTCAAAAACTGACTAAAGCTGCGCAGAAAATGCATTTTATAGTCGGACAAAAAGGGGTGGGGTGTGTATTTGGAAAGATTTTAGGGTTCAAAATATACTACACAAAATATTGCTCACAAAAGATTTTACTGAGCGGGGATCATTGAAAGGACAGAAGTAGCACCGGCCAAAAGGTTGTGCAATTCTGCACATAATTTTAAAAAGGGAATTTCACAGTTTTAGTTAGGGAAGAGTTGGCCAAACAAAAATGTGTAAAGCTCATTGGAAAGAACAAAAGGGCGAACAAAAACGGTTAAAAATCTTCCCGTTTGTTAAGCGGGCGATGATGGGCAAAACAAACAAATTAACATTTTCTAGTCTGTCATATAAAAAAAGGTGCGGGCAATTGAATAGGTTTAAAAATTAAATAAAAAAATCAAATCTCCAGATTTGACACTCGGGACTTCAAAGAAAAAAAATCTAATAGAACATGGGGTTGTTGATCTTTGGGTAGTTGGTCCAATATTCCTCAATTTCTTTATTTTCTTTCTTTCAAAGCATTTAATTTCATGTTGAGGGCCATAAGCATATTCCAGCACGAAGAAGGGAGGACAAAAGGGAGATTTTGGATTTGAGAAAAAAATATGAATTAATTTCGTATAATAAAGATGAGATTAACCTGAAACAACTAATTGAATTTTGATGCAGTCCATTCCATTCCGTGTTGAGCATTAGCAGTAAATATGTAGGAACTTAACAGGAGTACAAAGGATTTGTAAAGATGAAATAGGTGGGAATGGGGTCTACATTTTATATTAGAGAGTTCAATTTTTACACAAAGGGGTGTTCCAAGGCTATTGAAAATTTTCCGATAATACACCGAAGGACGAAGTTGTACAAGGGATCTGAAAATAGGGTTAATCTCATTAAAATGAGCATCTCTGCTCGAGGGGGTATAATGTATAATTTCATTCTGTTGAGCCATTTTAACTTCTTTAAAGGATCGTTCTGGGATTGGAAGAGGGTTTGGCAAATTCTTTCGGGTTTTACGGGACTTTTTTAGAGATGCTTTTTTACGGGACTGTTTTAGCAATCTTTCCACACAAATACTATTGTTGTTTACTATTTTCTTCACTTTCAATATTTCTTTTGATGATTTAATAGTAGTTTCTGATGAATTAATATTAGTAGTTCCAGATGTAATATTTAAAGTAACAGATGAAGTAGACTGTTGTAAATTTTCAAGAGAAAAAGGGGGATCTTCTGGGGATATATCAGGAATTGGCTTATTAGTCAAGACAAAGGGTATTTCTTTAGAATAATTATAAACTTTAACTTCATTATTTTCATTTATAGTCTCTTTTAAGGGGGTTAATTCTTTACAAATATTTCTAATAATACAAACTTCATCAATAGGAGTAAAGCCGGGAGGGGGACTAATGGGTCTTTTATTAATAATTTCATCTGTAATTCCTTTATTCATATTGATATAATCTTTAGGATTCTTTCCATTATTTATTTCTTCGAGAAGGGGAAAGCTAGGAGGAATAGGAAGTGGATCTAATTTATTCATTTCTTTAGTGTAACTTTTAATGAAGGGGGTCGGATTATTAACTAATTTCTCATCGGGGTGTTCTGTAATCGAAGGGTTAGGATACAAACAAAAATTAGAGAAGGTCCGGTTTCGATAAGATTTATCACTAGAATTTGTATAAACTGGTTTTAACGAGTCTTGAGTATTTTCATTAAAAGGTCTGTTCTGGGAAGGGTTTAAAAGAGGAAGTTCAGGAAGGAGATGTGAATGGTCAAATTGAGGTTTAGTTTTAGGTAAGTTACTTTCTACTTCATGTCGGGAATTCCGAAGCTTTCTCAGATACCGTTTAAGGTCATACATAATTTTTATATAATCTGTTTCTTGAAGGAATTTCTCTAAAATTTGGCTATCATTTGCCCTTTCATTTTCTGACATTGCAATTCTTAACTTTTGCCATGAATCGTGGGCTATTTTAAAATCATTTAGGATTTTGGTGATCTCTTGGGAGGTAAGGTCTATTTCATTAATTAATGTCTGGGTAGATTCGGGAGATTGGGTTTTAAAATTATCATAATCTTCTATTAGAGCAGAGAAAGGGCTAGGGAGAAGTATTTCTTTAGTGATGGAGCAAAGCTGGGACAATTGATTCCGAAAAGTTAGTGACATTCCTTTTTAAAATAACAAATAATTCGGAATTTTAAAAGCAAACAAAATATAACTTTTTATAAAATAACGGGAAAACAAAAAATTTTAAGAAAAAAATATATATTTCTGAAAAGAGTTGAAAGAAAAAGATCTCGGCTCGTCACCGGCTGAGCTGTAAAATTCTAAACAGAATTTTAATAAATGGGAGGGAAAATACATTGAACTCAAAAATAACTTTAATCTTCAATGATTTAACAAAGCTTTAACAATTTTATTTCCAAACCAATAAGTAAAGTTAACAAAATAATCTCTTTAAAATCCAAACAAAAGAAGGGGACAAACAAATTTAAAGTAACAGAATATTATCTTTTCTTTTAACA